TCAAGACTGACTTGAAAGCACAACAACAGCAAATAAGATATGGGATTCTCTTCTGCTCCGTTGAGTTACAGGGATTAGAAGAGAAGAGGCAGATATGTAAACCCTGAACCACTAAAAATTAGACCAACCAATTGGGAAAATGTGGCCATCCTAGACCAAGCCAAGTCCAAAAATGCCAGGGAATTTCTAGAAGCCTGGCACTCTGACAAATCAGCCATCAGTAGACACATAGACATTAACATCTATAGACTTTGCAAAAGAGACTATCCACCCAGCCCAAAAAGGAACAAAAAGACCCAAGCACCTCTCCACCAGCAATCAGCAACCAGATCAGCATAGATTAACTTCAAGGTTAACAAAACTAACAATCAAGTAAACTGCCAAATATATATCCCAATCAAGAAACTGCCAAAGAAGCCAACAGCAAACAGACCAACTAAAGAATCTCTTAAGACTACCCCCACCAACAGTGAAAGAGCAAGTCACTAGACTAGAATATAAACTGAAAGTAAACTTCACTCCTTACTAGCACTGATGTTACCTAGCTTGGGTAATGAAACATCTGCAAGAAAACAAGCAAGCTCAGAGAGCACTACGGACCCCTCATGTCCTACTCTTTTGAGAAAGATCCAAAGCAAACATGATGGAGCTACCAACTAAGAGCATAATGGTAGAGATGATTGCTGTTCCCTTCAATATAAGAAGTGTTGTAAATGTAAGTTATGAGTTGTTGGGTAACATGATGCTATATGCATTGCTCGAGGCATTCTTGTAGTCATCCGATTTACTACTATAGGGAATGAAATATTGAATTTGGCAGTCATTTAGTCAGACCAGCACAACTCTTCTTAAGAAGTTCAACATCAGCTGATATATATTCCACTGTACCAGTAGCTAAATTTCTTTTAGTATAAACAGAGAATTAGTTACTGGGCATATTCAATATTGTATACGAAATATCACCATATCTATAGTTAAAGACACTATAAACTGTTTAGAACACATGCATTTTCTCTTATCTTCCTGTATAATTCTGTCCCAACAGAAATCATTATGAATATTAATATAATTTAACATTGCGATATATTGTAAATGATACTGACAAATGTTCCTCTTGGAAAGAAATATTGGAACTTGAAAACTGTTCAATGACATTTTAATAACTGGAGTACTCTAGAAAGCATAAATGTTATGGAAGACAATCTTTTTTCATTACAGGCCTCCATGCTATATTCTACAAGATACTATGATTTCAGGCTCAGATTAGGAAAGTAATTGATAATTTAATAAAATAATAATGTAATAATTTATGGGTATATTTATATTAACATGCATATTAAATATTATGAAAGGAGGAAAGTGAAGCATGTATATTTGAAGGTTTCTATAAACACATTTCCACATGTATCTAAAATTGGATTCTTTCCATGTGTTAGATTTGGATTTCCCATAATTTCTGTCTGTAGACAAACTTCAATTTCTGCAGATAGCGTAGTTTTGCAATGCTAATTGAAAGCTTATAGCAGGTGAAGTTCAGTCCAAATGAAGACACTACTGTGTACTAAGGAAAACTAGTTTAGTTATTTGAAACTTCATCATCCATATCTGTATGTGTATCTTATTAGAAGTATTATACATGTTTGTATTGCTGAAAATTCAAAACAAAGCAACAGGATGACATTTTACATTGTTTCTTACAAAACAAAAATACTCTAAAAATGGGTCATCCAAGAGAATTCCTCTACCATAGAGAATATCTCTACCAATTATCTAAGACTCTGTATAACATCATAAGCCAAAAAGTCTAGATAACAAATGGGTACTTTGGCCTGTGGCATGCATCTTAGAATTATTGTGTAATCTTAACCTGGAGTGACTATCTTTGTTTACAGAAATCAGAATTTGAAATCAAGGTTTGCCAAAAATATCAAATTCCAATGTTTGTAAATCCCACTTTAGATTTAGACATTTTATTTATCAAATTGACATAGCTGCCCATCTCACCAAAGGTGACTATGGATGGTGCATAATAATACTTTGACTAATTTGTAGTTTACTTGTTTCCTTGCTTATTTTAGCTCCAATCCCATCCTCATGGATTTAATTTCATGAGTTCAAGCTCAATGTATTTCAAAAAGGCTTAGCAAAGGTGGTTCAGTTCAATAAAGATTTGTGTGAGTCACCCCTTCCAACTTTCTTCCTGAAGCTAATTTAATTTTCCCATCTTTAAGTAAGTTAAGCAGTCTTCTTGCTTTCTGAGCCCTCTTTCAACTGCTAGAGGGGCTGGTAGAGGTTTCTGCATGGTTCCAGCCTATGTGCAAGCAAATTGTTTCATGTGGAGTAAGTAAATACAATATAAGCCATCACTGTGCAGAAGCCATCTTCTTAGAGCAGGGGTGTCAAACTTGCAACGTCACGTGACATGTCATGACGTATCATGACTTTTTTTCCATTGCCGGCAATGGGGTGGGCGCGGTTTTGGCATGATGCATCCGGCCCATGGGCCGGAAGTTTGACACCCCTGTCTTAGAGAGTGAGAATACAATAGGAACAGGAAAATGCATCACAGGAACAATAACGATGAATCATAGAGTAGCAATGTGATACAGGAAACAAATACAATAGAGATGAATGATAGAGCTGCATATAAGGTAAACATAACACCTGCAACACAAATCAGCTCCACATCTCAATTACCCAACTGTGTGATGTCCATGATGTCTGCTTCACACATTCCTAATCATTTTTGCTGAAAAAAGGAGTCCTTGTACTGGGCCATCACATTAGTGCTAAAAGCACTATAGTCGTTTTGGATAGTGAGATGGGCGGCATATAAATTTAATAAATAAAATATCTGGAATGCTGATGACCACTAAATGGCAATCACAAATTACTCAAAATTCTCCTTGCAACTAATGTAATTTTTCCTAGGATTTTTACAGCCTAGATGATGGTATCCCTAATAAAAAGTATTAGAGAAGTGAAAATATAACTGTTTATGGATGGAAACATTGCTTTTCATCAAAATGATTGAACCCTACACAGGAGTAAGTTACTATCTTTTCAACTGAGTTTCAATCCAACTTCTGGGCCAATTGTGGCCTGCTCATTTGGCTTAGTAAATTGTACGAATCCAGCCATCATGGTTTGTAAAATCCTGATTTATAAATAAATCCAGCTGCTTATTTAATAAGACATGGTTTGCTGAGAATGTTGTGTGAATAACATATAGTGCAGCTGGTGCAATTGCAGTCATATTTCCATGGAACCAGTTTGATGCAGTGATTAAGCTGCTGAATTAGAAACCAGGACACGGAGTTCTAGTCCTGCCTTAAGTCTGAAAGCCAACTGGGTGACTTTGAGCCAGACTCTCTGTCTCAACCTAACCTAGCTCACAGGGTTGTTGTGGGGGAAGAGGAGGCAGGAACAATTAGGTATACTTGATAGGTTGTACAAAAATAAACGTGGGATGTCAATCTATTAAATAAGTATTCCTGTGTTAATTGATGCTCCAGAACTGAAATTATTGGGTGCCAGGTGGCATATTTGACAGATAAATAAACATGCTCCTTTTAACAGTGGTCTAACCCAGTGTTTCTCAACCTTGACAATTTTAAGGCATGTGGACTTCAACTCCCAGAATTCCACAGCCAGCAATGCTGGCTGTGGAATTCTGGGAGTTGAAGTCCACATGCCTTAAAATTGTCAAGGTTGAGAAACACTGCACCCAGACATTCTAAAACAAAAAGAGGAAAATTAAAATATAGGAAAGATAAACACCAATGAATTATTTTGATATAACAGGACGCCTATTGCCACAACCGGTTCCTCAAAAGTGTTTGACAGATCGGCTTTGAAAATCCACTGTGTTACTTGGGTTACATTATCCTTAGTTGCTTCCTTCTCTTTGTCTTCCCTGTCCCCCCCTTCACCGTCCTCGCAACCTTCGCTCCCCAGGCTGTTGCACCAAGCCCGAGAAAAGGAAACCGCGTGCCGGCGCAAAAGGCGCCTCTCTGCGCAGCGATACCGAGCAACCTCCATCTTTGCAACGGGCAGCTATTCAGCCTCAGCCCCGTTGAAACAAGCACTTCAGTCAGCCATTTTAGCGAGGGGCGAATGCCCACCTGGAAGGGAGCAGCGGCCATTGGAGTTGAGGGCAGCTTGGCTTCGCATCCATTGACAGCTCAAAAGGCGGCTGTTTTCTTAAGGGCAAAGGTCGGTGAGAGGAGCTGACCGAGGCGGTTTGTTTTTTTCTTGCTTTCGAAACAGATGCGCCTGTCGGAGGAGCCAGCGTTACTTCCTCGCTGCCCATTTCGTGCACGCTCATTAAAAGCGTTTAAGTTGGAGGCATTGGGAGCAGCTGAAGAAATCCAGTTACCTGTGAGTAAATCTGGCTTTTACCAAGGTAGTGAGTGAGTGAGTGAATGAACGAGAGTGGTTTCCCTGCCTTTTCGTAACTCCGGGGGGGGGGGGAACGCTTTTCGCGGGTTGTTTAAATGCGGCTCTCGGAGGATGAGAAGGTTGTATTAACAGGGATTGGTTCCTGGACGATCAGGGTTCATAAAAGAGACATACCCAATTCGGGGAAGCGGGGGGAAAAAGAGAATTAAGAGGCTTCATATTTGCCTCTGGGACACTGATTGCCTTTTTCCAACCCTTACCTGCGTTGCTTACTGCTCAGGGAGAAGCAGAATTCTGGATCTTGTGGCATCTGTAGCAAAGTTCTCAGATCAAGCGTGGTTTTGTTTCTTAGCAAGCTAATTTCTGGTAGGTGTTTACGTTCGACTGTTTCTGCAAGTTTAGCTAGTCATCAAAAGGACGTACTGGTACTTGTGCTCCCTGCCTTGATGGCATATGATTTTGTATGCAATACAGTTTTGATGAGCTGTTGGTTATTTAATTGCTCAGCAGAAGCTGGCTGTCGGTGCTAAAATCAATTTTCATTGGCAGAATTCAGTTGGGAGGAGATTTTCATTCCGAGATATGTGATGGTTCCTTAGTAATGTGATTTCTCTGGACATCTTACTGGTCAGCTGCTGCACAAGAAACAGGTAGCATACTTGAAGCGTTTTTATTATGGTTGGTTGCACAGTCATTCAGATGTTCAGATTGGATGTGGCATTTTTAATCCACCCATCGAATCCTTCCCAAAGACCTGGGATGGGCAGAAGTTGTTGTAATGGTATGGTGCCAGGATGTAAGCGGTTCCAAGTAAAGCTGCCTTTGTCAATTAACTGATGGAGATTTTGTCAATGCTGATGGGGTTCAAGTGGTGCTCCAGATGTTTTGGGATTGCACCCAAGGCCCTATTATTGTTGTTAATACTTTTGCAATAGGAAGCTTCAACTTCTATTTCCAGATCTTATTATTATTATTACTTAAACTTATATGCTGCCTGACTCTAAATGACATTAAGTGGCTTACAAATTTACAATAAAAACAATGAAACATAAACAATAAAGATAAAAAATGGCAAATGCAGTGAAGTAAGGATTCTCATTCTCTTTTGCCAAAGCACTGAGTGAAGAGCCAGGTTTTCACACCTCTTCTAAGAAATAATTAGTAACATGTTCCTTGCAGACAGTACTAAATAATGCAAATATTGTTAAAAATGTTAGTTTGCTAGGCTTCTTAATGAAATGCCCAAAAAACAAGTTCAAACTATTAAAGAAATGTGAGGTAAATAATTGACTGGTTTAAAGTGCAAATAGAGTAAGACATAATTACTCTTTGCTTTCTTGTGAGAGTTAGCTATTCAAAAAGGAATTATCTTTAAAAAACAAATCTGTATGTCTCACCCTATCTCAAATGAACACCTTCCCAATGGTGATTCTCATCTGTATTCTTCAGGTTCTGTCCTGTGTCACAATTTGGTACAAGAAGGCTTCCATTTTTAAGCCTGTCATTCTAACTATTATGTCCGTGACTAGCTCTCCAATAGATCTAAAGATGCTTTGTAAAGATACACACTTAGAATTTTTTTTTTTTTTTTACAGCTGTAGCATTATTATTATCCTTCTTTTTTTTTTCAATATAAAATTTTATTGTTTTTATCATAAAAGAAGAAATACATCACAGGTATTACACAATGATTTATCCCATCCCCCCACCCCCCGGACTTCCCAAACCAAACCTAGGCTAACATTCAAATACAAGTAAACAAATATTAATATCTCTAACTCCAAACTCTAAACTTAAACAATCCATCTCCTCCGTGT